CCTCTACTCCCATCTGGCTCTGCTAAACACAATGAAGACTCAATGAATGTGGCAAAGACGGCAGATGTGGCTCTGTCTGTCAACTTACGCCTTCTACTTTCTTATTCACATTCATACTTGTCCAACCGTTCTTGTATTTGTAATTTACACACAGGATTGAAAATTCATTTCTCCCCAACTGTATTACTTTACAGTAAGTAACTATTCGTAACTATTGTTACGTCCAATTTTGTGCTGGGACACATTTAGTCGTGGCACAGCAACAAGAAGACACGTGAAGCGGCAGAAGTCTATATACTCCGCGCAAAGTGTTAAAGTTAAAGTGTTAAAGTGTTAAAGTTAAAGTGTTAAAGTGTTAAAGTTGAGTTTAAGTGTTCATCTTTCAGGATTCATGTGTTTTCAAGTGGACTCATTTTGCCTCTCAGTGTTGACAGACGAATGAATCCGTCACTAACAAGAACTAAGGTGTCGTGTATTTCCTGGAGGGAGTGATAGGAGTTACTATTGTGTTCATCTGTCTATGGTGTCGTTGTTATGATATGGTTAATATTGTTCCCTCTGATGCGAATAATATTTGAATGGCTCGTGCTCTTGTCCTGCAATGGTCACAGTTCAGAACAGAATATCTGGTAATATCAGCAGGCTACAGCTGACATGTTCATGCCTGGAATTCATTTCACACCTGTTTCGTTTTGCAAGAATCTATGCTGAACATCACTGCTGTCTGAAGGGAATAAGACCATACAAATGGGGACGTGTGTGTGTGTGTGTGTGTGTGTGTGTGTGTGTGTGTGTGTGTGTGTGCGTGTGCCTGTGTGCGTGTGTGTGTGTGTGTAAGTGTAACTGAAGGGCTCCTGATAATCCTGATCCTGTGGTCTGTGATGCTTGCTTGTTCTAATATTGGAGTTCGATCTGAAAGCAGTTTTTCTGTAAAAATGTATCTGTTTGTGTTTGATGCAACTCAATTTATTTAAAATTGAATATTAAGAGTAGCCATTATATTCGGCTACATTCCATGAGAGAAAGAATTGAGGAGAAAGAAGTGACAATAGATGAGTACAGTAGGCTACAGCCACACTCAAAGTGGGAGTGAAAAGCCAGTCGCCATAGAAAGGGGGATATCGTTTGAATACGGGGAGAGTATATCTTTTTCAGACAGTATCTTCTGGGAGACATTTGCATTCAGTAGTACACACAAAAAGTGCCATGATTAGTTGTGTAACAAATGACAAAAGAGAGCTAGAAAAGTTCAAATCCAGTCTACTTTCTCACCTCTGCTCAGCTGGCCAATCACGGTGGAAAGTGGGTGTTAATGTCAGTTTTTGGAAGTTACAGAAATGATCGAACACAGCCCCCTTAATTTAAAATCTGAAAAGTGTGGGGGGAGGGGGTTTCAGAGACTATTCATCCATCCGATTAGAATTTCTCAAGAAGCATAGCTGCTCCTGATGTTTTTCAACCTTATGTGATCTTTTTCAAGCTGCAGTGGGGAGGAAATGGCGAGTGGGGACCCTCCAGAATCTGAGCCGCCAAGATCAAACACCAACTGGTGGAGTCTTTGCTCAAATTGCCCTCCGATGTCAACAGAAACAGAATCATTCTGCATTAATGAATGTCAGTGTGGGCAGTTTTCATTGGAAGCTGTCACCAACGACACCCCAGAGAGAGCAAGCTGTGTGTGCGTTACTATGCATGACAGTTTTCCTCCTCGCTTTGAGTGCTGGACACCTTCTTCAGGATCCCGAAGAGAAACTTAAATACAACCAATACCAGTATGGAGATTTTCTTCATTGTAATTTACTAATCTAAAAGTGCTAACAGATCTAGCAGTGTTTACCTGAGGGGGACTGGTGGGTGGGCGCAATGCTTCTGCAACAACGCTGTGGGTCGGGAAGACGTTATCAGCTGTAACGGACTTATGAGAGAAGTGTGGCATGAGCTGACCAGTGGGGCACGCTCACATGCACTAAAACTATGAAATAAATACATAAATATGCCTATGAAATAAATACATATGACTTTGAAATAAATATCAAAATAAATGTCAATATAAATGAGTCAACATAGCCGCTGGTTGAAAAGCTTTACACTGTTCAGTAATGTTAGAGCTCTTTTCTGATTTTAGAAGAAAAATATTGTTGAATTTCACTGAAAGGTTCTATTCCAGGAAGTCCCCATCTTGGAGAGAGAATGTTGTGATTGAATGTTAGATTCTACATATAAGCTTTTTACCTAAAATAATGTATTCTGGTGTAACCCGCTATGGCACACTGATGAAATGATTGCAATATTTACATATTTGCAGTATTACCAACTGAAAGAAAATGTGCTATTAACATTCCCTGCTGCAGCTTCACATTTAAATCATTTTACGTTCATTATGAAGTAGTCAAAGGATATGCAATGTGTTGTCTGACCGCTGTCGCTCATCAAAATGTTTTCAAAATCAGTTTTTGAAAATCAAATTAGTTTGTAATATTGCAGAGAGAAACAGTCAGGAGCAGCCACAGTGAGCTGTTAGATGCAAATATGATGGATTGCCTGTTACAGCTTCACATTGCCTGTTCCTGATGGAAACATTACACACTGGGTGGGTTTGACATGAGGGCTCTACAGCGGGTGATTAAAAGTACCATCTACTGAGCATCAGTGAAATTGGTGACAAGAGGAGCCTGCGAAGAGGCAAAGGATATTAAAGACAAAACCACCGAGCAAAAGCCTGCTCATTCTGCTGCCGTCTGACAAGAGGTACAGAACAGCTGAACCTCCAGACTTTAGAACTGCTTCTTTCCTCTGCTGTTAAAATAGTTCTGTATTAAATTAACCACCATTCAATATATCTTCTCTGGTTCAATGACTCTTTATGGCATCTAAAGAAAAAGAGAGAAGCTGCCGTGAATAAATTGTTAGAATCAAGAAAGACAGATTATCTTATTGTCCCTAGGGGTCAGACCCCAGAAACTCCAGAGATTTGATCCTAACTTGTGGCGGCTGGTGGAACATGTTCTAGGTAGAGCCATCCTATCAATTTCAGCAAACATCCCAGTATGATTTAATGCAAAAAAAAATGAAAGTATCAAACACGCATTACTACTTTGCAGTTAAATATTTAACATTTATTCCAACACGAAAAGTTCTTTTTTTTTGTGTGTAGCTCAAGGTGGGGCCAGGCCCCATGGCCCTCTATTGACCAGCCGCCACTGTTTATAATGCAGCTCAAAAATGTATTTTCTTTAGATCCTCCCTGCCTCATGAACCTGTCTATTTTTAACTCCACCTTTCAAAGCTCATTCAGAGCCACAGAGGACTTTATAGAACTTTTTCACATTCTCCTAAATTTCTTTTATATTTTCTCTTAATTTGCTGTTAATAGAGAATACAAGAGAAGTCAAGTCCAAAATGCACCAGACATTGTAAACCATCACAGTGTGTGCTGAATGCTGAACCCCACTAGATCATAAACTGGAGGCTGTGGCTGATTGTTTATTATTAGCATAGCTGACGCCCCCTAAACACTATGTAAGGGTGGGTGTTGTGCCATGTGCAATACTTAGCCACATGCCCAAGAACTGGAGGGATCCACTATAAAAAGGCTGTAAGAAGAAGAGCTTCGGCAGTAGTGAAATCAATGTTAAATAAACAAAGTATACATGCTTTTCTTCTAGAGGGTCAGAACTGATCTAAACGCATGTTAGAGCATCATGTCAACCATTCAGAAGCTGAGCGCAACTAATATCATCAAAGGCTTTTAATAGTCTTATTTGTAATCAATAATGGATACGAACAAAAATTTGAGAAAATAGATCTTAAATCTCTTGTGTCACGTCAACATCTACCACACAGTGAACATGCTTCCAAGCATCCTCTACAGCTCACAAGAGCAAACGAGACCGTGGTTCATTGGGTGAGAGGGTTGTTCGGCAACCGAAAGGTCGGCGGTTCAATCCTTGGCTGCTATGGGTCCTGTGCCGAAGTGTCCCGGAGCAAAACACTACACCCCTAACTGCTCCTCGGGCGCTTCTTAGCAGCCCACAACTCCCAATAAGCTAAGGCTGGGTTATATGCAGAAGTTACATTTCATATATATACCTAATGTATATGATGACTATAATTGAATTTCATTAGAAAAGACATACTGTGTTGCATGTCAGGATTGACCTTTATTTGGACTATATGAAATAAAGTGGTACTGTACTGAGCTGCTAGAATAGTAACAGAAATCAGTCCTGAGTCTCTCTCTATTGTTCTAACCCTCCCTGCTGAAGCCAGCAAGGTTCCTTTTAAAAGAGGTTGAAATGAGGCAGATAATGTAGGAGGCAATGTAAAAGGATATTTAATGATGCTGCACAGAGAGGGAAACTAACGTGCAGACACTGCAATAATAAAATGGTTGGATTCAGCCTCTCCCATTCCGATTTAGCTGTCATTGTTGTATACAGTTGCTGGTACTCTCCAAGCTGTGAATGTTAGTCACGTTCAGCTCTGTTCTGCTTTTCATCTGAAATCGTTCTTACTCTCTGGTCAATGTCACCTATTTCTGCAATAATGACAACTGGAACATACCGACAGCATATTCCTACTCGGAGGTCAGATGCTAGCTTCATGAACCAAATGTGAAAAAATGAGCTCCTGGGAAATCATGGTGTAGCTTCAGGCAGCGTTCAGACCAACTTTAGTCCAATATCGACTCTAACAACATCTTTAAAAAACACGTTAAAGACAAAACAACAAAACAGGAAAATCCAAATTGTCATACCAGTAATTCCACAATCCACTGCACAAATAACAACCTCAAACACATCTGAACATTACACACACTTGTCAAAGCCTCTTAGATTTCTGCTGGAAACTCCTCACACAGACACCTCAGAGCATCAGTGACTGTAATCCTCCAGCACAGCCTGGATCACAGCATGCACTAACAAATGAAGAACTGTTGCCAGAGCAGTACAGTGCAGAAAAAGAAAGAGAGCCAGCGGAGGAATCTCAGGGCTTCTTACCTGCTTCCCTCACATCCTGCACTGCTGCTGAAGGTTGGATGGCAACCGGTCTGCTGTGAGGAAGCGCTACAAAACAGAGGGAGGAGAGGGAGGTGGGGGGAAGGTGAGGAGTTGAGGGAGGGTGGCAAGTTAAAGGAAAGCTAAATCCTTTCTCTGCATACTGAGCCCTGCAAGCAGAGCAGAGAGCAGCACACTTCCCTGCTCCTGCTCCGCTCCCTGTATGTGCAGCTGCTGGTGTGTGTGTGTGTGTGTGTATGTGAGTGTGTATGGGTGTGTGTGTGTGTGTCTGTGTGTTCACAAGAAAGATGCTGCAAGTGTGTACGGCATCATATCAGCGTAACTGCCAACCGGGGCTGTGAGATCCCTCATTGAAACATGTCTGTGTGGTCTTGTACTTTTGATTACATTTCAAAAACAAAACGTCTTGATATGATAGAGAGCTTGCCAAATTCCAATTTGTGCTTCTTTACTTCGAAAGAAGTATTTGGAATTATGATTTCAGTTTGGGACGAATATTTGGATTAAGGTTAGGTTTATTGAGGGGAAAGGTACAACCTGATAAGTCTAGTGATATTCGATATTGTTCTTATTGTCAACAAATGCAATGAAAGGACCAAAACCAGCAGTGAATGTATCTACTAATAAGTGTGTGTGTGTGTGTGTGTGTGTGTGTGTGTGTGTGTGTGTGTGTG